CATGGTTAGGAATAGAAAAATAACATTGGGAGTTACAGTGATGATGTCGCACTTGACTTGACCTCTATCCTCACAAAAGCAGCGAAGCTCCGGGGAGGCTATTGGTTTTGCCCATGTTCTTATTCATTCTGTTGTCGTTGTCGTCATCGTCGTTGTTAGGTAAATTGTTTGTTACCACGATAACTAAGGTTTGATAAGTCAGATTGGTTTCAAACTTGGCAGAATGCAAGATTGTAATAAGAAGACAGAGCCTATTGTTTTTGGTATGTGTGCTTATGCTAATTGCATTGAGGAAATTTACTATCATCATAAATCCCATAAAAACTTTTAATTTAGTTGAAATTGTAATATTCCTCATGTTGTTGTCATTGTCACAAGTAAAATTGTAAAATAAAAAACTGGTTTCAAACTTTTTTTTTCGTATGTGTTCGAACAGACAACTTCACTACTTAAAATCACCTTTATTTTATAATTATAGCAAAAGTATTGGCAATGACAATGTGTTGTAATTGTTTGCTGCCCTCACTGGCTGGAGTAGAATATTTTGGTAATCTGATTCTGAGAATATAAAATGCCTTTTGCTGCCCTCTATAATAAAATTATACCATCATGATAATTATAAAGATGTTCATTGAAAAAAAAACGTTCTCATGAGGATTCAAACCCTCAACTATCCCATTACTCTTTGGTTTCTGCCTATATTAATGGAGGTTTTTATATCATGTGATTAAAATATATGTAAAGGAGTATACACCACCTTGGCTTAAAAGTTGCTGTTAGGACAACTGAACCAAAATCAGAAAGTTCTGAGTTTTGAGTCCCAATGGGACTTTACTTTTTTCTCAAAAAATACTTAGTTTAAAAAAAAAAAAAATCACCTGAAGAAGTGTACTTTATGTACAAACAGTTGTATTTCAATTTTCAAGAGTGTAATATTTTTGTTCAGCAAGTGTTGTGAGGAAGATCAAACTTTTTTTTGGGGGGGGGGGCATGTGCTCTCACGCCCTCTCCCTCAGGTACATGTATTCATCAAAGATTATAATTTGTTGGTATCATTTTTTTTTTTAACTTTCAACTAAAAAATAACATTTTTATGTGTGTATACAAACATTGATATTTCCAATTCCAGACTAGTCAACTACTTTGACAGTTCTATTCTGATTATTCTTCATTCAATCTGGGTACAAAACATTTGGCCTCTTTGTGACCCTGAATTCTGTACATAGTGATTATAGGCCTTTATTCATAATTTCCCTAATTCAACTCTGTCATCTTCAGCAGCAGGAATCTTCAAACGAGGTCATGTCAACCAAAGTTAGGCAAACTACATTAACAAAAGGAGTTTACAAAAGCTTTATTTTTTTTATTTTGGAGCTTCGCAATTGTTCTGTTTCCTTTAAATGAAATCCGAAGGGAAAGCATCTTGTCAGTATTACCAAAAAAGGACCATGGAGAATAATTTGGAAGATAGGAGTCTGGCAAATTTGAGTGCTGGTAAGGTTAGGCGCAGAAGTTCTTGCAAAGTTCCTCCTACGGAATTACTTGGTAAGAATATTTAGTTTGATTTACATTGTATTACCAAAAAAAGGTAGTAATAGAAAAACCTGAAAAGAAATTTGTGTTGGTTGTTGATGAGAAACTGCAAAAATAGGCTAGTAAGGTTAGCAACAAATTTGTTTTGTCAAGGTTCCTTTGAATAAACTAGCATTTATTTATTCTTTAGCAAGCTTTTTCTTCTATCGTGTCCTATGTTCAGATAGTTCTTACCCTCTTCCTGACACAAATCTGGGTGGGGAGCATGTACATCGCCAAATCTCCTCTAGTGCAAATGTCTTGTTAGCTTAAAATATAATTAAACAATACAAACAAAAGGGACTACAAAATGGATCAAGAGATCTTTTTTAGTTATTAATATTTGCTTACTCACTGGAGAGCAGGAGGCTGTTTCAATCTTGAGATTCCCACAACTCAAGAGAAACTTTTTTTAATCAAATCACTCTTCAAAAATTTAAAACAAATTTGAATGTTACAATCGAGTAATATCATTAAATGTCTATATACCAAGTACAGTACAGTTTAGATATAACATGTAGTACAGTTTAGCATATAAATTGGAATGGAAACACAGTCTGTGTGACATAACTTAATAATGCCAGGTTTTTAAATTCATATACCAAAACATTAACTGATTGATACTTTTTTTTTGGGAGCCCTGTAGAATTCAAACAGTTTCTTTCTCCCAACATAGCACCTTACCTTGAGTGTTTGAGACTCTGACAATGATACATGTATCTTAACAACCAAGGAGCAATGACAAACACAGCTATTGATACATTCGCAATTGCCTCGTCTTCGTTTGTTTGCCTAGTCATTAGCACGTTCGCAACATAGACCACTTGTTGATTTAAAGATTAAGGACAAGACAGAGAATTTGCCAGTGGACAGTAGACAGTTTTAATGGAATAGTAGCTTAAGAGTCGTCTTAGTACATGTGCTATATCCTGTATATCTGGTATAACTCCAGTCAGTTCACCAACAATAGATGTTCATTATGGTTAACGGATAATAAATGCAGTGAGACAATTGCACTTTGTTGGAACTGATTCCTAGTTAATCACCAGAACAATTTTGTGATATTCGTTTCCTGCTAACAAAAGTAAAAATAAAATAATTTAAATAGTTAATCTGCAATATAAACTATCATAACTATAATTATTGTATACAGAATATTAATAAATTAATGAATATTTACGAGTTAAACACAGTATACGGTATATATTGAAATATGGTCTTTAGAGTTAAATTCCCATTTTTATATTTAAATCTCTTTTACTTACTGTTTTTTTGTCACTTGCTTTTGTAATTGTTTTTTTGTCCATTTGCTGTACCTGTTTATGATTTTTTTTCTCCATGAATAATGGAGAACAGGAGCTTAATAATGACAAAACAAATGATACAAAATACATGTGGTCAATAGAAAAATAAAGCACTCAGAAAATCTTACAGCAATCCAAACTTGATGGTGCTTATTGAGTGTCTAGACCTGGCCTGTATTCAGTAATACTGTGTATTCTGTGTGTGTATGTAGTGGGAGTGTGGGTGGGTCTTTTTTAACAACAAATTAGGATGCATTTTTCTTAAAAATAAATGGGTAAAACACCTGGACAAGAAATTTATTTTTATTTAAACTTCAAAAATTGTTTGACCTACCTAGCTCCTGTAGCTATCCTAGCTAATGATTGTAAAAAATGTTTGGTAACCATGATAATGGAATGAACTGTAACCACTTGACATACATAATTGAATGAAGTGAGACTTAAATTATATGACTGTGATGTTTACTTTAGTTTAGCTAACATTTAATGTAAACGAACACAGTGGGGAATCACTGACGTTGTATTGTTACTGTATGTTGTTCTAATGAAGGCATTGTGGGCCTTGTAAACACGCTTGCGGAGTACTACTGTGCTGATGTTATTAAGATTCAGGACCATTCAGCCTGGCCTTCTTTACATTGTTATTAGAAGCATTATCTGCTTTGATCTTGCCAAGCGCTCAAGGGCTAAAGTCTATAAACTTGCTCATTTCTTGTCTCTTTTTATATTGAGCTATTTGATTGCATAGTTGTGTTGATTGATCTACACTGAGAGACAACCTTCTACTCTTCTTTTTGATGTTCTTCAGTCATCTCTTGGCTACCTGGTATGGGACCAACTGTTGCTCTATTGTATTTCTGTGTCTAAACACAATCAGTGGTGGATTTCAAATTTTCAAGCACGGAACATAATGTAGATACTAATTCAAGCAAATAAAACTGATCTTATTGTACAACTTTATTATTTAGAGATAAATTTCCAGAAAGAAGAAATGTTTAATTTTGAAACAAAAAGTATCAGGACTAACTTGAAATTTAATATTTAGCTGTTGTTTTGTAAAAACCAAAAGGTCCATTGATTAATCTCAGATAAGATAGTATAATACATACTCCAAGTATCGAAATGCATGCCATTGTGTTGGGATTCAATATTTCGACATTAATTATGTCATCGTCAGAAATGTATTTCTGTGTCTTATAATGACAGAATTAATGTTGAAATATTGAATCCCCAAATGATGGCGTGCATTTTGATACTTGGTTGGAGTATGTATTATACTATCTTTATCTGTTGTTTTATGCACATAGATTTATTGATCAGTTTTACTTTTATACAAAAAATATTAAATTGGTTACCAATCAGAAAGAATTATTTATACATCTGGAAAAATATTTTATGGTTGCTTTTTTTTTTATTGAAAAGCTACAATAATAACATAAAAATAATTGGTAACAAAAATTTAGAAAGCTCAATACAGAACATGCCTCAGACATTTACTTTTGTTGGTCCCAGGGAATCTATGTTTGAGTATATTAATATATAAAATTACTTATTGCTTTTATATTTTATTACTCATTAAAATATTTGTAATATTTAATGCTTTGTTTGCTTTGCTTTGAACCATCTAGTTACAATTGAACTTTGATACTCTTGATCTGTTCGAAATTAATTATTATTTATCATGAGGTGATATTTCACAGACAACCTTTCCCTTCTAAATTATTTGAAGCACTTCAACAATATGCATTTGTCTCCCCACAGCGTAATCATCTAATCTGAAATAAAATTCAGTATAGATAGAGTTAGCCGTTTAAAGTAAATACATTTATTATATAGATTTTTAAGTGTCCTAGCTACTGTGGAATTGGACAACCTACCAATTTTAATAATTGAAAATCTAGCTAGGTAAACATAGAATGGGCAGATATTAACCGATAATAAACTTCTATTGTTCGTGTTGTTTGTAAATTATGTACTTGTATGCTCTTTGAATAAAGATAACAGTTCAGAAACATTAGATGTTTGATTCTGATCACCAAGGATACAGATACCAGCTTCATGTTAATAATATAAATACAAACCAGAAGAACAGTGAACTGGAAGTGTTCGTGTTAAAAAGTGTCTGTTGAAGGCATACTAGACAACAACTGTTCAGCCTGTAACATCATTGATGTTAGTCTTGCATAATCAAAGCTAAATTTGAATCAAGAGGCATAACTTTGTGATTTGAGCTGTAATGGATTTAAAGAATAGAGCGACAGACAAGACACCTTCTAGGCTGTCTAATGGCCGGAGCAGCTGTAGCTCTTGTATTAGCGTATCAAGGACTAGAACTAGATCGGTGTCTACCAGCTCTTCAAAGCAGGCATTATCTAGTCAGTGAGATTTTTATTCTTTGATTTGATGATTTGATTGAAAGATTATTTCTTTGGTATCACATTCAATTACTAGTGGATTGCACACATGTTGGTGGTTGAGATTAAGAATAGGCTTTCTTTAAATAGCAAATAATATACAAGATCAGGTGAAAGGATGGCAGTGAAGAAAAATATAATGAAAAATGGGAGAAATATAGAAAGACGTATAAAACGCATGTGAGCATCATCGCATACAGGGATGTAGTTATGGTGGGCGGGGCCACTCAGTTTTGAAGTTTTCCACTCAGTCTTAAGCTAATTTCATGGCCCTCCACCCACTCTTATTAACCCACTTTTCCATCCTTAAAATCTACTCTTATTAATAATAATAATAATAATAATAATAATAATAATAATAATAATATTAATAATAATAATAATAATATTAATAATAATAATAATAATATTAATAATAATAATAATAATAATAATAATACTAATAATAATAATAATAATAAGAATAATAAGAATAATAGAAGATGGATTAGAATTTACTGATGTTATCACACACCCACCCTCAGACTGTCTGTCACCCAGTTTTCTTTAGCTACAACCTAGCTGTGCATAGTGGTAGCTGTGCTAAATCATGGAGATTCTTACATCCCTGATTCACATCCATCACTATTGCCCTTGTGTTTCAGCTGGAATGGAGTGCTGGGTATATAGTACCATAGAGTGCATTTCAATAGAGATGCCTAGCTCCATTAAAAACACATTGCTAATTTTAATATGAATATCCTTAAACTGATTATAAGCCATAGGAATGGTATTAAGTATGCATGTGTTGTTTTAATACAAAATGTTTATTCAATCAAACCATAAAGCCATGGCTAAATTATCAAATTTTCTTTGACAAACTGTTGCATGCCCAGATATAGTCATGATGTGCCTATATATAGTCATAATGTGATGTCATCATGTCCATATTTAGACATGTCACATATTTGGACAAGGCTTTATAACTACAAGTAAGTAATTCAAATATTGAGTTTTTGTTGTTTATTAGTTCTATTCAGACAGCATCTTGTTTGATGCTCTTTCAATATCATCAACCATCTCATGGTATACACAACCATCATTGAGTGATAGCCAAGTAATATTGACAAAACCTGACTGCTAATAATGTACATCAAAGGTCTGTATATTGTATATACAGACAAGAGCAAACACTTGAAGAGACCAAGAACCACTGCTCTCAATATTCTCCTTAATAGTGGAAAAATATTAATACTGATGTTATTGAAACTCCTTGAGTGACAGGTGTAGTAGGCTTGTGTTAGCTATGCAGTGTTGCTACCAGCACTAAACATCAGTCAGATACGTAACAGTGGCACTACGTACACTAGACGTCGGTTAGCTACCATATGTGCAGTTGAAAGAAATTCTTAGTTTTAATATTTTGACTTGAAGCAATATTTTCCCTGTGGAATTATTGTGGTCGAACATTTATGATGGATCGGGGCTCGGGTAGTGGAGCATCTTCGGCGGCATCTTCAGGCTTGTTCATCTCATCAATTATTGAAGCAATTACAGATATTTAATGGATTCTTTGAAATATAGGAATCAATTTATGATTTGACAACTCCATTATTCAAGTTTCATATGTGTATAATAATAATTTAACAAAATAATTTTGAGAGATCGATAAAGATGATAGCAATTTTTTCCTTTTTCATTGGATTTAACCTGCTTTCCATGATTTGAACCACTTTTATGTTTTAAAAATAATTTTACTTTTTCTATTGGCAGATAAGATGAAGCGGAACAAGAGGGATGGCACACCCGACAAGATGGTGAGTCCAAACAATTCGCAGTCACAGATGGAAGAGGATCAGATTCTACCAAGCAAGCAGATTATCAATGGTGAAGACATCCAAGCTCTTGCTATTGACCTCTCACAGTTACAAAAGGTACTGGCTGTTCCATCATCATTAATAATAAGCAAATAATGATTAATAATTTATGCATTTATAGTGCATAATAGTCCCTAAATACCAATAAGTAGAATGAACTAATCAAGAATCGTTTTTGTAGAATATACTAAGAATAAAAAAAACTGATTTGGTTTTTATCTACCCTCTTTTTCAAACTTTTCCATGTTTGTTTTCCCTTTCTTTTATCATATCAGTAGTTTAAGAACACGGCCTCTTGGAAGACCAACCTTTGTAAAAAGATTGAAATGAGTATCCGTGGATAAATAAAGTTGTTATTATTATAATTAAAAAAAACTGATTCGGTTTTTATCTACCCTCTTTTTAAAATGTACTTTACATTAACTTACCCTTTTATATTTTGTAGTAATTATTCTGAAAACACCCTATTATCTTTCATTGTCAAGCACATTTTGAAAACGGTATCTCAAAGTTAAAAAAAAAACATATAATGTTACTAAGGAGAAAAATTAATTTTTGTTAAACCAAAGTAAAATTGCAAAATCTATGTTTCAAAATGCGGCCAAGCAACAATTAAATAGAGGGATTTAGCAATGATTGTTTACAGACGGTCACATGACCTAACTTGGGTATACATAAAAAACATTACAGTGCGATAGAATATGAAAAGGGAATGTTATGGTTGCGAAAGCAACCACATACTGTTAACATGGGAGGTCAATAGCTAGGAAAGGCAATACGATTGTTCAAAATAGTGTTTATTTACTTAGCCTAGCGTTCTTCTTGGATTGTATGCTTTGAAATGTAAGTGATCCTTCATAAACCTTAGCTGGGCCTAACATCGCAGCATAGTTCACGGGTCGAAAACCATCATGCATACATGACCATGCCGTAGATGTGCAGGGGCCTAGGCCTAACATTTATCGAAAGATCTCAATGTTTGCCGCCAGTATCCTTTACGGCATAGCAAACTAAGGCAAAATTCTTAAATTTAATTTCCAATCAATTTGGTATAGTTTACTGGGAATTATGATGATCTTTATAGCAATAAACAAGGGACGGCCATGATAGCAATCTCCATGTAAAACACCCCTGTGTCAGTAGATTGTTTATATCCAACTCCCAAGTTGGTTATGTGACGCCCATTCCTAAATCCCTCTATTATAATGTTACTGTTCAATCTTTTGTGTTTGTTTATTATTAGTTAATTCTGGCATATAAAATACATACAAAGTAAACAGAAGAACTTAAAAATGGATAAGAAACCCAAGGAGGAGCAAGAGAATACTGATGTTTGTATTGTCTTTAGTCTTTTGTTTATTGAATATAATTTTAGTTTATTATGGACAAGTAAGGTCGTAATACCATTATTATCATAATATTGTGGTTGTTTTCATTGTCACTGACACTTGTTGTTGCTGTGATGATGATGTCAATTGTTAATTTTTTCTGAAAAACAATTTTTACAGTTACGAGCACCTCGTCCACCATCAGGTGATAAAGCAAAAACTGAAGCTACACGAAAAGTGATTGTGCGCAAGATGAAATCCAAGATGGAGTTGGATGCCCCCAAGATGAAAACAATGACGATAGCTAAGCCAGCTACCCCCAATGCACCTCTCATGGCAGACGACTATTCAGGTAGGCTACGTATATTGTGCACATTGTAAGCATTTATATAGCTTTGCTACCAGGGGTGGTGCCAGCGGGGGGCCCGGGAGGGCTGGCCCTGGACCCTAAATATTTCAAAATTATGAAAAATGGGGTATAAAAGAAAATTATATTCAAATTTAAGTCTGAGAGGGCCATTTTCAGCCATTTAGGCCTAGGTGCTGTAATCATAAATTTTCTTACCTGAGCTCCAACCATGATGAGGCTGATTTGGTCTAGGCCTAGACCATTCATTTGTGAAAATCCCGCCATACCCCCACCTTTCAACCAAACACCCTCCCCTTCCCACTCCAACCCTTTGACCCACCACTGCAGATCTCCTGGAAACCACTTCTTTCAACTTGGGATTCCTGAATATTTTAGCCAATTTTAATCACTTATGTGACTGGGTGACCTGGCTATAGGTTTGTAGGTATACCTAGGTGTGTTTTTGGATATGTATGGATTAAAATCTAATATTTTTTACTATAATCGCTCATTTCATTTCACTTAGGCTGCAGTGGGCCTCGTTTTGACACCACTGGTAAGATTATACCACACAGCATTCTTGGAACAGTAGACGACTTCAAATATGAAGCCATGATTCGGGGTCATATGAAAGTAAGAATAACGCAATGTGATTGGTTATGTATCTCCTCCAAGTTTTAAAAATTTGATTATGTATAATGTAGCTAGCTGTAGGTAATCATATACATGGTAGAGACCACTAGGTATATATGAAGATAGACATGAACCTTGACACCAACCTCTGAAGTTCAGTGGTATTTCAAGAAGGTGGCCAGATTCACAGGGGGATAAAATCATTAAATATTGAAAACCACTGATTTGATCATTTCCTATAAAATCTTATTAAAATTCACATCCCACTTTACAAAAAATAATTATGTTTGTCAGATTATAATTTGAATGTTTTTGTTTTTTACTTTTAGTCACCAGATAATTTAGAAGCACCAAGCCGCCCTCAAACCCCAAAAGTAAAGTTTGAAAAACCTCAGAAGGTGACCACACCAAGAGATGCATTTTTGAATGAGAACAATGCCCTTAGGAACTGGCAGATGAAGATGTTGGAACGCAAGAGGACACAAGGCTATATCTCCAGTAAGTATCTGAAATCTCCAATTAAGGAAACATTGTATATAAAGTATATATCTCAGTGGTGGAGATGTGCGCATTATAAATCTTTATTATATTATTATTAATCTATATTACCTGACCTGTTTTCCTACGTTGTCTTATTTTGTTGATTGTAAATAAACGTTTTCAGCCTTTGGCTGTTGTTTTGTTTGTGTTTTATACCTTAATAAATAAATAAATTATTATTATTATAATGAGGACCAAATGGAGTTTTTATATTCTTGAGTTGGGAAATTCATAACTTATAACATTATTAAATGAAAGACAATTTCAAATTTAAACACTTGAGTATATTTTAAAATTTAACAGAGTTGATAACAAATTATAAACATTCTTAATAATACAGATATTGATAGCACATATTTTTGTGAATTTAGTGTGAAACACAAACACGATTAATGGATTTTGATTGATATTGATTGGAAATGTCTCTCACAGAGTTACTACAGAGGCCAGCAGATACACTAGTGATGAACCAGGCCAAAGAATACCGTGAGACACAGGAGCAACGGTACCAGTTAGACAGAGCAATCCCAGCCGTCCAGTATGGCAAAGGATGTAAGTCAATCTACACTATCAAATCTTCTTTGAAAAATACTTTTGTATGCCCATATATAGTCATGATGTGCCCATATATAGTCGTGAAATGCCCATATATATATAGGTCATGATGTGCCCATATATGGTCATGATGTGCCTATATGGTCATGATATGCCCATATATAGTCATGATGTGCCTATATATGGTCATGATGTGCCCATATATAGTCATGATGTGCCTATATATGGTGATGATGTGATGTCATCATGACCATTTTGCTACAGTAAATAAAGATAGTCTGGACAGGGCTTTAGAAGTACACTGTTTGCTGCCACCAATGTTGCTTATTTTCTAATTGTTGTGAATTATTTTGTAGACCGTGTTGGCAGTGAGTTCTGGAAGCAACAGGAGAGGATTGGGGATGATCTCTCTGGAATACAGTAAGTTCAGATCAATCATTTAGTCAATCAATCAATCAGTCAATCAATTAATCAATCATTCAATCAATCAATTAAACAATCAATCAATCAATCAATTAATTCAATCATTTTTATATATACATTTATAATATATACATTATTTTAAGTGGGTTAAAGAAAAAATAAACATGTTGTCTTCATCCGTATATGAGCCCGAGAACAAATACTGCACCATTCATTGTTTTTACCAGTTGATTTATGTGCCCTTGGTATATTATCTGATTTACAGTACACAATATAAACATTTTTACATTATTTCTATAAAGTAATTCATAATGTCATCATGCATATGAATTATTATATTTGTTTGCAGTATGACATTGACACAGACAGAACGCGGATACCCACCTCCAGTGGAGCATATTGGTCATCCAGACACCGTTCAAAAGGAAATGGGTCGGTTATATTTATTGTCTGAAGAAATAAATCACAGGTGCTTAGGCAATGTGGGCACAGGTGGTTGCATTATTACAGATTTTGCAGGTGTCTAGGAGATGCAAGCCTGGTTCTCATGAGAGACCTAGTATCCGGATCTGAAGCTAACCGTTAGCACCTGTGTGAGAACGCCCGATCGGTTAGCGCTAACCGTTAGCGGTATCCGGATACCGCTAACGGTTATCAAGCGCTCTGGGTTAGCTAATGAGCACGTTTCTATCATCAACCAATCACACGTACGCGTTTACAATTTCCAGTTTCTTATTGACTAGTGATTCGATCATCATATACTTGTTATCCGATCGGGATTTTCTCGTATGGACGCACGGCAGCTAACGGTTAGCAGCTATGTGAGAACATAGCCGTTTTATTATGCAGGTGTTGATATAAATTGATATGCAGGTGCTTAAGTCAATAAATATGCAGATTAATGGATATTTTTTGGAGTGCCAATGAAACTGACCCATCAGAATAGGGCGCTTGTCAAATAAATACAAACGCGTAATGTGTATGTAGATTTACGTTGCCATTTTGTGGGTCCTTAGCAACAATATCTAGGAACTGTCCATTAGTATGCAGGTATGATAGCAATTAATATGCATGTGTGAAGGTTAATAATATGCAGGTGTGATAGCAATTAACATGCATGTGTGAAGGTTAACAATAGATTAGGATGATACCATTGTCATTCTTTCTCACATTCTAGTGAATTTCATAAGATAATCTTTTCTTCAACTCACACAGGTGTTCAACTTGAAGGTGTACGCTCATCTACACCAGTCAACTATCCTTGGAAGAAATCGACTTACTTCAAAGATTGGAAGAATAAACTGAGAGATGTCATGATAGACCTGGATGAGTTTAAACCAGTAGGTTTAGTTTTCAAATAGATCTATGAAACATAAAATCAATCATGGAATGTATTCAACTGGTTCATTTCGTTGAGTACAAATTTTTGTTGAGTATTATTTTCATTCGACTGGTTTGTAAAATAGAACGAAAATTAACCTAACCAGAATGCGTTAATCAGCGTTAAGTTATGCACGTGACCAAAAAAAATATGGCCGATCGGTCAGTTTAGCAACAACATTTGCGTTAATATACCTTAGATTAAATTTCAGAAAATAAAAATTATAATATTAACCCACATTAAAGTAAAAAAATAATTGTAGGCTAACAGAATTCACAAACTGGATGAAAACATTTTTTTTACAAAAAAACCCATACTGCCACAATCCGAAGCAGCCTTGATTACGCAGCGTGCATCGCGGTAACTATGCAGCCATTCTGTTTTGTCGAGTATTTACCAGTTTGCTATTCGACTGGTTGTCTTCTTTAAGTAGGATTTTACCACTGCGCAGGTGGGCGTGGTTTAACGAAGAACAACCAGTCAAATACGGCCGTGGTTTAGTTTTAACTGAAGTAGTTGGAGGCATATATATTGGTAATACACATAAAATATAGTTACATCCTAATAGTACTGTTAATGATGAAAGTAACTTTGATATTTGTAGTGGTGGTAGTGGTGAAGAGAGAAATATAATGGTGATTATTATTTTTAAAATGGTGAATGATAAATTGTGATGGTGATTATGAAAACACTGATTATTGATGAGAATAATGAACATACTGTAGTATAATGATGATGATAATGAAAAAGATAAAAACAATGATGGGATCACTGATGATTATAATGATGATGATAATAATGATACTAATAAGGAAATGCTGCAGGTTTTATAGATGTCTTACAATAATCTACTCAATAACATTTGTTAGGATATAGATAACCTCCAGGTGATCGGACGGAGTAAATCCACGTTAATGGCTGAAAGGGAAGATCAAGAACTGCTAAAAGAGGGTTCACTTCCAGCAACACTCCCTGAAAACCAAGAAAATATGTGAGTCAGTCTGCTTTCTATAAAAAAATATTTTTCTTGTCATGTTTGATATGATTTTCTTTAGGCATTTGGTGTATGTCATAATGCAATCTTGTCATGTTTGATATGATTTTCTTTAGGCATTTGGTGTATGTCATAATGCAATCTTAGTTAATAAGGCAAGACTATTTTTATACCTTGTTTTGTAAACCCGCCGCCTGCCAATATTGATTATTTTTAATAATAACAACATTTTATTTTTGGTAAATTAGCACAACTGCTGCCACAAAAATGGAAATTACATAAAAAAAAAAGTTTTTCTTACGCCCGTCGCGACCTTAAAATCTCCAAAACAAATATATGTAAATTTCCTTCTAATTACGTAAATTTAAAGCATTTAACCACCCCATTACTACGCTGTTTACATTCAATAATAAAATTTAGTTTTTATTTTCTCCTCCGTCTAGATGTTTTTGGCAAAAATATTTGCTAAAGAAGAAAACTAAAGTTAATTTTTAAATTTTCTTCCGCCCTTCTCTGATGATATTTAAACAAATATGTTCACAAAACAAGATATAAAAAAAATAACTTACTGTCAATAAACTCACATTAAAAATATTTGCAATTGATATAAAAAATATTTGATTTCTGGGATATTACGAACTATATTACATATAATTATATTGATCTAACGAATGAACTATGTTTCCAAACCTCTTCTTCAGTGACCCCTTGGCTGGGCAACCAGATCTTGAGGAACAGTTCATTGGCCCATCGTTACAGTTTAACGGATTCAAGGCACGATGGGCTGGTGACAGTCACAGCATGAAGGGGCAGTTAGCCTGCTCAGCCAGGGTCACATTTGAGGCGTTCTCAGGTGTTCGCAATACCTCTCACCTGTACCTTGTGAATGATGGCACTACTACTATCTATTATAATTGGAAGGTAGGCTTATTTAAAATGAAATTATATTATATCAATGCTTTTTATTGGAAGGTAGGCTAATTTTAAAAAATTATTATTGACTTGCAAGTTGCATTATTAATCATGATGAGTCTCAATGATAATGACCATTTTGCTTGTGTCATTAATGGCGCTGTCACACCTTGATGATTTATTCAGCATATGCCAACTTACCAGCATTCCTCTAAAATGCTGGCATACGCTGAACTATCAATGTTTTTTTTTTCAATTTTGTGCACACATGTAGCGTATTCATAATGAATTGGATGTATACATAAACGTAATGTATGCGGCACGTATGAGCCATACGCTGGCATACATCGAAAAGTTTTGTACATGCACAAAATTTGTTGACGTACTCGTTGTACTATGACATATACCAGCGTGCTTCAACGTGCTCTTGACTTGACGAAACTTACCAATATCTTATTTGACATCAGTCAGCGTATTCGCCAAATTTTTCATACGAATCGTCAAGGTGTGACAGGGCTATAAGGAATGCTCTATATGTACACCAGTCTCCACTACCCAGGACTATTAATGGGTATTATTACGTTTATGCTGTGAGAGTAAGTTGAGTGGCAGGGGTGCAAAACCCCACAGCATTGCCTAGTCTGGCCAGATGCCAACAAAAAAATGATGATGGGGCAGGAGTATTCTGACCATTATTTATTGAGTGACCATTCAAAAGTATGCCACATTTTACTGACCACCTAAAGAGTGACCACTTCCCATGAGTGGCTATACTTTACAGACAAACACTCTTTTTATAAACATATTTTGCTGTTCATAGAAAATTCCCAAAGTAAATCCATTTGAAGGCTGTGCAACACCAAAAATCCAACGCTTTTACTTCAACACCAGTAGTGGAGTGTTACTGCCAGGAGACAGCCTCAAGTTTCCATTTGTCTTCAAGTCCCCTAATGCTGGTATCTTCACTGAGAAATGGCATCTAGAGACCAAGCCTACAGTTTGCAATGGAGCTGACCTGGAGGTCATTCTCAGAGGCGTTGCTCTACAAGAAGACAAGAACAAGAAGGCTAGAAATGAGCTTGAGGTAAGTCTGTTTGTAATGCCATTATAAATATTTGGGCGTAGGACTCATACCAAGGTGTACTAAGATACAATTCTAGTTCTAATGGATGTTGGATGATTCGTATCGCAATCCTTAAAACTCTACAGCTTGTACATCATGCTAAAGGAATCACTCTCCCAATATTAAAAGCAATTCATCTCATCCATTTTGATAGTTAATAAATATTATGCTTTGTGCCTGATATAACACAGATGGGTGCCTCATAATGATTTGCTAAATTTAACCTTATTCATGATATAAAACACAAAATGTGTTAACTTCAACAGAGGGAGCTGTTGCACAAGCAAGCTGAAGCCAATGTCCGCATGATTGTCGATGAGCTTGTTGCAGGTGTCCGCACGCCTGACCGAGCGAGATCTCCAGTCGACGCCTACATTACAGATGAAGAGGTGTTTGAAAGACAAAACCTTGGGGTATGTATGTATCTGAGACTAATTAAGGCAGCATTCTGCTACTAGATTAAGGTAGTCACAGTTTTAAATTCTTCACAATATAAAATGCCACTTTTTAATCTTGTACTAATATATTCAGTTTTTTGAGGAAATTAAATCAAATTATCTTCTCTATTTCTAGGGTATATTACTCTAATTAACTGGGTTTTGAAATAATATTTGTGTTATAATCTATTCTTATGAACAATTACATTTAAAATAATTTTTTTTCTCTACCACAGATGCACTTCTCCAACGATGTTGTAAACCAGTTGAAGCAGGTGTACTTGGAGCAGTTTCCAGAGGAGGAGCGTGAGGGAGTAAGTTGGGATCTTTCAGTCTCCAACATGAAAAAGGAACTACTTGCATTAGAGGATGAAGATCTAAGGGAAGAACTACTTAATAAGATGAACATGGCTGTTACATCATTGTACTTCCCTCCCTTCACTCCAGCACAAACCAAAATGTATAAAGTAGGGTGAGTATGAGGATATTGATTTTCGGTGGTTCTATGTGATTGACCATTTTAAGAATAATCTGATATTCTAAAGCCGGGCACCAACTCCGTCGGTCGACGGTGGTACAACAAATCCAACTCCACTCTCTGTGCGAACTAGATGACGTGACACCATCTGCTGATTGTCGGTGGCCGTCTGAACTATAAAAAACGATCTGCGTTGTGGTGGTGCATTTCCCATTGCGTCGCCAAACGACTTTCATGCGCAGTGAGTACTCAGCTTCAGGTACGCCAATTATTCTAGCCTGGCAGTTTCACAGCAGTGTTGTCTTACCTATTGTGCAAGTCCAAGGGGGTATTTTCCCTCCAAGCTTCAGAGCCAATTATTCTAGCCTGGCAGTTTCACAGCAGTGTTGCCTTACCTATTGTGCAAGTCCAAGGGGGTATTTTCCCTCCAAGCCTCAGAGCCAATTATTCTAGCCTGGCAGTTTCACAGCAGTGTTGTCTTACCTATTGTGCAATTCCAAGGGGGTATTTTCCCTCCAAGCTTCAGAGTCAATGATTTCACAGTAAGTTTGCTAATACTATTACAGTTGAAGTGTAAAGATGTTTTATTTGAGAAAAGTATCCCAAAGTTGAATATATAAATTAGGAACCATCGGTACATATTTGGAAGCCATGAAATATAACCACCAGACTATTAATAATTATTGAATTGTTCACTAACCAGCAGACTATACTTACAGATATAACTTGATATCTGAAACTATTGATAAAATGGTGACAAATGCAATGATCTTGAGAAACATGTTGGGTATGGCAGAGAAGGAAGAGACCATGCCAGAGACAGACCAGAGTAAGTACTGTATCTGCAAATTATTATCATCACATTAATTCATTTTAGATCTCAATAAATTTTTTTTTTGGAATTTTCAGTTGATCTTTTGCCTTCCCTCTAAACATAAGTGGAATACTTGCACCCTGAAAATAACCAGCCCGCTGCAACCATACACCTCCTCATTCTCTTTACAATTGTAAAAATACACATAAATTATTTCCATAACCAATTTAAACAAATATTCGTCATAAAAATTATATGAATTTTTCCTCGTGTTAAAAACTTTCCAAGAGCCCCACCAGTATCAAAATCGATTTATTTTTAATAGTTCTCACTGATTAAGACAAAGATTAGGGACTGGAATCTAGTCTAATTGATATGGTGAATTTGATTTGCTTACGCCCTCTAACGTTGTTGGAATATTCTTATGTGTAATCTTGCCTTTACACTTAAGCATGTATTTCCTCTGAGAATGTAGTAATATATTGCATTGACAGTTTGAGTTCTTTAATGTGCTCCGTCTTCACCATGCCACTTTGAACTATAGATCAAAGTTGTCTGTTCCATTTAGCAAATCATTTACTGTAATTTATTAATGCATTCATACTTCTTTGCTAATGATCAAATTGCTGAGATGGATATTTTTTCCCAATTTCTTTACCAACTCTTATTATTTGATTGAGTTCTTATGATGTCTTGTTATGTTTTTGACAAGTGAAGAATATTGCATCTTATAAGTTAGAGGTTTTGCCTTTTGTTCATTCGCAAATATCTTTAAAAAATGTAATTGCTTTTATTTAAAATATTATGTCATTTGTTTTTAAGTTCAGTTAGTACGATTTACAGTTGTGATTTAAAAATACCATTAGCATCATTGTCATCATTGCCAATGTAATTATTATTTCGAATTTCTTTTATCTTTGTGATTCTTTTTTTTTTTATAGTAAAAATTGTTTTTTTTTTGTTGTTGTTTCTTCTTACACTGTCCCTCCTTCAACATTACCTTCTACAATACCACTTTTCTATCATCCATTCTCTTATAACGTATTCCTTTGTTAATTTTTATGCAATGCCCCTTTTAATTCATCCCTTCCTGCATTGTCTTCTTGTTAACGTTATATCCTTCATCACTCCTGTCTGCCTAATATATCTTAAGGAGGATTTAGTCCGTGATGACAATGCCTAGTATGTATTTCAAGTTAATAACTATACATGTAGAAATGTCAATGTAAAGTAATTGATTATTCTCTTGTGTTTCAGTACTTGCAGCAAATGAGAATCTACGAGGAATAGGTAAGATGAAACCAGTGTTGATGCGACATCAAAGCTGATACCATTACAAATGCATTTGTTATTTGATACTTAAAGTCAGTTTGAGCAGCCGATAATGTAGTCTGTGCCGGCAGAAAGCATGCTAAGAGCTCTCAGCACCTTCTTAATCCAGTTAAGATCCATTACCAAATAATAATGATAATTATGTTATAAATTTCAGAATTGCTTAAGGGATTAACAATTAATCCAGAAATGATTGCTGTTGGTGGGGAGATGTAAGGGTAGAATTTTTATACTGCACATATAGGCATAAGTCAATATTAGACATTATGCAATTACCAATAGCTAAAGGATGCTCATAAAAACCAGTCTTCAAAGAAAAAAATATTGTTTTGATACGTTGTACTGATAAATATTATCAAAGACATTAAAGGGATGTTTTAAGAAAAAATTTGGAATTTCTAATAAAATACAAATTTTGTGTCCTATCACCGATTCCCAGTTATTTTTTCAAACACACCTTCATAGAATATTTATTTTTTAAGCATATAATGGGTGTAGTTGTTAACTATTATCACCATGGTTTGCTGTGGTTGACTGAAAGCTAATATGGTACGAATGTGGGTTAACTCTACCACTGATTTAGAGTGGCTTACTAAGACACCATACTTGTAATATCCTGATCCAAATGTTGATAAAATAAGGCCTCTGTTTGATATCAGGCAAAATGCATGGAATTGGTTTTCACTAACTGAAAGAAGATTTTTAAATGAATTTATTTTTCATGTGCACTATTTTTTTCATAATTGTTATTCCACACCGATCACCTTTATATGAACCACGTTGCTGCACGTTGTCGGTATTCACAGCGAAGGGCAAGAGTAAGTTGCGTTGATGACAAGCTATAGAAGCCGTCTAACGTAGAGCATCTATCGCTGTTCGCTTTTCAAACTCATTTGCACCTTCATTACTTATATAGTTCATTCCATTTTGAAATTCTTTTCCCTCGACACTTATCTTTATTTAAAGTTTCCATGAAACCTAACTCATAGCATTTAGATCACCTGCTGGGATAAATTATTCACCAATTGATGAGATGTTTTTTATTCATTGCAACATCATTATTTTTCTCATGGGATCTGTATGTTGGGATACTTAATCTTTTACTCTACGACATCTTCATTCTTTTATGACATTTTTATTCCCGCATCATTTCGTGGTTGTTAGCTTTAGGATGATTCATGAAATGCTTAATACCATTTTCATGTCTTACAATGTCTTGCTATTTTTTATCACTTGTTCATTTAATTATTTTAGAACTAGAATTTGCAACAATGGTTTTTATGTAAATGATAGCAGAATGCTATATTAACATACAAAGACGCAATGTCTACAACAAAAGTGTAATGATGATGATACCATTCTCAACAAATCATATTCATAATTAAAAAATAATTGAAAATATATAGAATTTTTAGGGTGTTTGACTAAAGTTCCCTTTTCATTTCCCTTTGCTTTAGTTTTTCTTTAAACTTTCCTTTCCTTCCTATTCTTTATCTATTTTCTTTCTTTTGTTTCATTTCCTTTCTTTGGTAGAAAGAAATCCTTGATAGATGAAATTGTAAAATATGTGCTATTGTCACGAATATTTACATTACCAACTATATACAGTATAATAGTATATTTATTTTCAGTCAACCATTTTATCCCATTTAACCTTATTTTGATATCTGTAGATCTATTTCGGCCGGTCCTATGACGTTTACAACAAAAAGTTATTAATACCCCTGAGCTGCCATTAGAAAATGATTGTGAGGAAAATGAGGTTAGAGGAAAACACAAATGAAACCCTATTATTATCAATTATAATTCTAATGAGTAGGAAAGATACAAATGCTGATAAATTCAATTATTTAATTTGCTAGTTTCAATTTTCTATACAACTCTTCTTTTCATGGTTTTGCAGATTCCATACAAAGTAGATCCAGTCCAGTTTGCAATGTGTTGTGCTCCTATTCCCATTACAAATAAATTAAATAAAGTATAAGAAAGAATACAAATAAGAAGAAATATGAATACCAGTAGTTAAATTGTAATTTATTTGTAATTACAGGTATTATAATATCATATAATTGTTAATCTATTAATTATTCTCCACTTAATATATGTATGACTAATAAGTATCTAGCTGATTCAATACATTATTCAGTGTGTTCTTTATGTTTAATTGCTATATATCAATATTTTGTGCAATTTTCTGTAATGTTAAATAAACTCATTATCATTAAAATTATTTTAAAAATATAATATTTTAATCTTATCAATATCAGTTAAGCAATCCATTTCTGGAACAATTTAATCTTAAGCCTAGAGATTTAAGTTATATACACAGCATCATTACCATACCAATAATGGAAGACATATTCTCATTTAATATGCTGATTAATATCAACTAACGTGCATTAAACTGAAAAACCGGATTTCTTTTTTTTTTTAATCATTCTCTCATATCAAAAATATGTCATACTAAACATAAACATCAGTTATGTATTCATTCACTTAAGGCTAAAAACACTGCAGTGAGTAGCAGTGGCGGATCCAGGAATATGAAATAGAGAGGGGCACGGGGAGGGACTTTCACAGATGAAGAGTCTAGATTACCTCAGCTCCACCATGGTTGGGGCTAAGGTAAGAAAATTTATGATTATGGCACCTCTAGATGGCAGGAAATGGCACTTGCAGATCTAAATTTTATATATTCTTTTTTTCTCATTTTTAAATAATTATTAAGAATTTAGGGGGGCCCGGGCCAGCTCAGCCCCTTCCATAACCCCCCTCCCCCCATTGAATCCGCCACTGAGTAGATTTATACTAAGACTCTTAATTTATATTAATTTTCTTTTGCCTTGCATTTTCTCTAAGTGGTCCTTGCTGGCCTTGGTAGAGTTGTGAGAGTGGACGAAGGTGTCCAAGGGTGTCAATCAATCAATGCTACATCAGCCTTGACCTAAACGTACTCTGCGTTAGACCCTCGATTACCCTATCAACCAAAATCTATAAAACACCTCAATCTTTATATAATAACCAGATATACCAAATTATATATGTTTGTTTTTATATTTTTGTGTAGGTGTGTGTAGATAAATGTATGTATATGTATGATGGTCGTACTGTCTCATAACAACTTGGCAGCCATTATGCTTGTAACTAAAACTTTCACCAGACATGCCTAGAGCAAAATATCTATAAAAAGTGCCCCAATTATTTCTGAACCATTTAAACTGCCTGAATAATTGATCGAGACATGATTTAATATTACTACGGTATGAACAACCTTTACAAGTCATTGATTTCCCAAGCCTCTATACAAGATTTGTTATAGAAACAGAAAAAAAATCGCTAGACAATGATTTGCTACAATAAGTACTTTAATCTTTGAAAATTACCAAATCTGTTTCAGGTAAATGATAATTTAAATTAGCAGTGTAACCGCGGGAGAGGGTTTCAGATAGGATTCTAGAGCATTTTGTGGAATGCGTGGGATCTGTAGAATCTAGATAGCAACAATTACAGTAAATCAGAGAGACAACATGGCTACGTAAATCAAACCACTTTATTCTCTTTACGTTCTACGCACCTTGGAGTCTTGCATCTACTCGGTGTTCCTTGACCGTTTTCCAATCCTTTAGTTATTTAATGGTGCCACAACTAATATATTTTAAAATTATGTTTGCTGTGTAGCATTGTAAGGGCAATATAAACAAATAAGTACTACCACTACTGCTACTACTGTGCTACTACTACTTTTGCATATTATATTATAGCTGTTGTTATTTTCATTGTTTTGTTTTTTTCATTTTTATTATTAGTAATATTAAAATGGTTATTAATATTATTAATATCAACCATCTTATTCAATATTAATATTATCAATATCATTATGATTGATAAAAGTTAAATTGAAATTCTCTTTTTGTTTAAGTAATTATGGTTTATAATAATTACCTTCCTACATTTCTATCATATGATCATTGATCATTTATTATTATAAAAAATAATAATATTATTATAAACAAAAAAAAATATTGAATCTGTTCATCAGGACTTATCTGGTTTGATAGCTATCATATCACATGTCATCTGAGATGCATTATCAGGCTGACTAGTCTGGTGGTACAAAAATGATCAATAATTATTACAGTAAATCAACCTCCAATTTCTCTTTGCCAATCAATTTAAATGGTAATTTTTTCAAAGTTTGCTGAAAACCATTTGGGGGTTGTGCTGACTATTTGGGATGACTATTGGTTGTATCATGACCACAGAAATACAGGATGTCAGACAATCCTTAAACTTCCCTCATAATCACCAGTTCATAAACTTATCATCGTGGAGATATAAAATATTTAATAATTTTACACCTCCATGGATACATATTTAAATATTGGAAATCATCTTTAAATGCTTCATACCCTAACTCTGCAATACTTCTCGCCAGGCTAATTGCAGTGTGCACTTTCTTTGGGGTCTAATGCTTTGACGAAACCTATAGCAAAGCGACAGCTATCAATCAAAAGATTCTACACTGCTGCACCCAAGCTTGAATATTCATTGTTATCAAAATCATGATTATCATCATTATCATGTTTTTCACCATCACCATCATCCATACATAATATCATTTTGACCAAATTTGTGTGATAAAATACCTCTTTTTCATAAATTGTGTTCATTCATTATTAAATTCAAATTATGCGTTTTTATAAAATGGGGATTTGAGTGATTTAAAGAATGACATTAATTTAAACCTTTTTTTTTCCAATATGTTATTGAGCAGGTGAAAGCCACTATACAAATAGCCAATGTATCTCATTCATGATACCTTTAATATATTTGGCATTTAACTATAGGTTTCCATACACACATTGCCTTTGTAATTCCCTATCTGTGTTTCTACGTTAATAAGTTAGAACACTAACAACAGGAAATCCAGGATTTCAAGATATGTTTGCCAAGTTTTCAGTTTCTTGTGAAATACTGTATTTCAGTTTTACAATAAATGAAAAAAATAAACAAATTCATGAAGAAAATTCCACTAGATAATATTATTATAAATACATGTATTTTATTTATAGTGTGTAATTGTTGTGGTGTTTTCTTTTTTCTAGGAGAGAAGAAGAAGAAAAAAGATAACAAAGAAGAGGAGAAAAAGGATGGAAAGAAAGACAACAAAAAAGCAAAAGGAAAAGACAAAGAGGTATGTTACAATGAAATTTTCATGCAAAATGTCTAGATGTGTACTTATGATGTCTAGATGTGTACTTATATATTTTTGTTGTTTGGTAGCATTTCTGCTTCAGGCATGTTCTTTTAGGCATTGGTTATATTCTTAAAATAAATGTTGTTTTGTTTAGGAAAAGGTTAAAGTGTCTTTTGGAACACATTTTTGTCTGAAGTAATGAAGATAAAGGTGTTTATTTTGTGAGTTTGTGAACTGGAAACCAATGCTGAATTAATATCACCATTGAAGTACATCACTGATACAGTAACTGTGAATAAAATACAACATACAGATACAATGTAAATAAATAGACATGTAATAATGACGTGATTCGAGCAGTGTTTACATTGTGTTTACACACAGTGTTGCGCAGTGAACCTAATGTACTGTAAATACTATTAACTATGATTTTCAAGCTGCAACCTATAAGCTATTGTATCTTAACTATAGCTCCACAATGTGTGAGTATAATTGAAGAGAGGCTGCAGGGTCGAATCTCGCTAGAGACATTTTTTCATACAACTGAGAAAGAACTTTTTGTCGAATGGATATGCATGCAGCAAACCTAATTTGAATACAGATACAATAGTTATTTGAAATATTGTTTTTTAATATTTATTATGTATTCATTTATGTTTTATTCATTCATTTATTCATCTAAGATTTTTAAGATTCCCGCTTAGATACTCACTGAATATAGGCATTGTAAAATACTCCATTTAAAACATGCACAATACATAGCTCAAGTAAACTAAAAGAATTGTTTTTAATCTGCATATATTACATATGTTTGTGTTGATTTTATTTTCTTTGAACCATTTTGGAAAATTCATTAAATTCAGTTGTGAAAGTGCATTTCAGATAACAGAAAGAATATATAAATGAATAAATATTAGATGTGCATATGTTTAATTCGATTTAGAATGTGATCAATATTGTAAGCACTTGCATCTCTACACACAAGCCCAGCTTATTATACAGTAGTTCAAATAAGTCACAGTTTGATTGATAACGAAGCAAAACATGAACTAGTTAAGCATGAACCAATGTATATTTTACATGGAGGCCATGATTATGAACAAAGAATACAAGATGATTCTGAGAACAAAGCCATTGATCGTTGAACCTAATTACTTTTCCCTGTTTAGTACCACAAGAAGTATAAACACAGACACTGTCATTTCATGTTTAACACGTTGATTGCCATAGGGGCACATTATCCCATACATCAAGCCTAGTACAAGTTATCTCACAGAATACATGTATTGCAGACAAACGTTAAGCTTGGTTTCATACAATTGCTACACGCTATTGCTGACAGCTTTCAGTGATGTTGATTGGTCAGTCGAATCGGGGAGCCTTCTAAATTGCGTCGGAAACAGACGCAGTGGAACAATTGCACTGAAAACACTGTAGCGACAGTGTAGCGATTTTATGGAAACCAGGCTTTATGGAAAACCACAACATTTTAGTTAAAGATCTTTACAAAAAGTTGGAATGAACTTCCAAACAAAACAAAAACTAACTGTAAAGAAATGACCCTAGTTTCATTCCAACATTCTATTAATTTTTAAGTTTTACATTGAATCTTCTTTTGACTTTACATTGAATCTTCTTTTGACTTTATTTTGTATTATCTTCTTTCTATTTCATGGTTTGTTTGTAACTTTACCACTTTAGTACTCAAGTACTGAAAGTGCATGCAGTCTAAAGAACGAATAAATAAATAAATACCCAAAATGCCAAGTACTTGTTGCACTTACTAGGATGCTAGGCAATAGTCAGGAGTGGATTCAGAGAGGGGCACGGGGGAAACATGCCCCTGACTTTGCCACTGTCATTGATTATTTTTTTAAAAGAAGTGGCATTCAAATACTAAATGTTACAATATTTTGTAGCAGCATGCACTGAATACAAATCACACCTTTATTGGATATTTATGTGTATAATTATATTACATCCACGGTTTGTGCTGTCTTGCTGTTAATGTGAATAACACAAAAACTATGCATAATTCTTTGTAGATAGAATTAATTAACAATGATGTCGGCGTCACATTTTCTTAATTATGTTATTTCATTTATATTCATTTTATCCTGTGCTAGATCAATAGATTCTAGATATTAATATTCATTTATAGATTTATTTTTTTTTACATGCCGTAAAGATCATTGTGATAAAAATGATAATGTGGATAAATGTTGATAATGATGATTATGATAAGATGCGGTTATAATGATGATAAAAATGATAATTTGAAAACAATATCAACTGATGAAAGTAATATTTTGATATAGATTATGGTGATGATGATGAGTGCGAGTGTGCTCAACAGTAGCCAGTTTGCAGGATGGAGAACTCAATGAAAAAGGACACGAGAGTTAATGATGAGTCATCTAAAATATAAAATATCCATTGAATATACTGTATACACAACCATGGTGACATATATATTTTTTATATAAATCTGTTGCAATTTACCAGGACAAAGATAAAGACAGACCCAAGAGCAAGAATAAAGGAAAATCCAGGATGGCTTCTAGCCCGACCCCCACAAGGGAGAGGAAACCACCTCAGGCGAAGGCGCCAGCAATACCTAAAGATATGAGTCCAGTCAGCTGTGGCGACCCCGTTCTTGATGCAAAGTTCAGATCTAAGCTTTATGTACAGGTAAAATTATTCATTTTATTCGCTATTAGAGAATCTTACAAAGCATGGAAAAAGGAAGTATAATTGTATTCATGTTAAATTTATGTATATTAACTGTCAACATTATTTAAAATGGATATAGAAAACCTTGATGGAGCATCTTGGAGGTAGATTAAATACATCGTGGAATTAAAGTAAACTAATTAAATATTAAATAGATTTATTGAAAGAGATAGAAGCAATGATGACGAGATAGTAGAATCCCTTTGAATTTGAAGGTCACATGTTTCTTGATCAATCCATCGTGGAAGCGATGAGGCGTGACAGTAAGGCTCTGGGTTTTCAACTGAAAGATTAAAGGTTCGATCTGAGAGGTGGGTCTCTTGTTTCTGTTGATGGACAAGGCACTTAACCCATGTTGTCCACCAAGAATATCATTACTAACGCAGCATTATGAAATGCTCTCCCAGCTTACCGACCTCTGTGTATGCTCTACAAATATTTTTCAATTGACTTGGGTTATAATGTGATGCATGCCTTTGAATTATGCAAACCTGTTTATTGTTATTGCATACTAATGTTAATTTCAACTATCAGATGCTATGTTTATCAGCATTACGTTACACCTTGTTTGTTAGATGTATGGTTTCCTTGGCGACATGATGGAGAAGATGGTGGGCATGTTTGAGGATATCAAAATGGAAGAGGATCAGATAATCCTGAATGCATTGTCATAGCAACTGTACTACACCATGCTCTAGAGAGTAGGATGAGCTAATGATGATGAAGGTGGATAAAGAAAAAGAGGAATGAATAAATGTAACATTGCAATTTTATTTTATAATATACTGGTATATTTATTGTATCTTATTTCTCAAGTACAAGCTTACCCCTTTTGAACATGAAATTGGATCATTTTTAGGGGGCAGGGGCAAGGGAGTGGCTTACTTAAAGGCCAGAAAATTCAATAATGCTAAAAAAAACTCTACTGATTCCTAGGTAGGCCACGACTAGGCCTGCCAATAATTTTCAAATTTAGATTCAAGCTCATTGTCAAAACACACAAAATTATTCTGAATAATTTCAGTGTACAGTACTCAGGGTTGTAGCGGTAGGGAACTTAGGGTGGTTAGTCGAAATTTTAAGGGTGGGTGATAACATTGGTACACTCTAAATAATAAGAGTAGATTTTAAGAATGGGCAAGGAGGTTTATAAACAGCCATGAAATTAGCTTTAGACTGGGTGGAAAACTTCCAGGCTAAGTGGCCCCGCCTGCCTCAACCCATCATAACTACAACCCTGAGTTGTACAACCCTCGTTCAAATTGGTTTATACCCAGGTGGAGAATTTGGCATGAGTATTATTCTTATCCTTCAAAAGCTATGGTATTGTTTTTTAAAATGTCATTAAGACCTTAGTTGCCGTCCATATATTTAAAAAAAATTAATATTGACAAATATAATTTTATTAATAGAATATTTTTATTCGTTAGAGGTGAGAGAAATGATAAAAATGTGTTCACAAGGAATATATATGTAAATAATGTTGTTCATGTTTTTGATGATGTCAATGTTTCAAGATTGAAATAAATTTATATATGAGATATTTAACAAATTGATTCTGTTAGTATCTGTATAACTTGCAGGGCTGCCACTGTAAAAAAAAAATCAGCCTGGCAAAGTGTTATCAGTGATGGACTGAAGGTGGGGGTGGGTGGGGGAGCAATTATAAAAATAATGGAGAAAAATAGAAAAATAAATTCAATTTTAAGTCTGAGAGTGCCATTTCCGACATTTAGAGGTGACATAATCATGAATTTTCTTACCTCAGCTCCCAACCATGGTGTGGCTCAGCTAGTCTATACCATCTGTCTGTGAAAGTCCTTCCCTGGGCACTCTCTACTTCAAATCCATGGATCTGACACTGGTTATCAAGCCCTAAAGTACTTTTGAAGTTTCACATGACACAGATGAGGAGTAATAGAGCAGCAGTCAGTTAAACTGGTGATAGCGACTGTGTTTGCACTGAGCCTTAGAAATCTTTCATCATGTCTCGTTCAATTTCATCGCTGCTCTTTCTGTATTTCAGCTGGAGGGCTAAAATTTACAGTAGTGCACCATCTTTCTTAGGATGTTGGTCCTGTGTGCATTATAGCCTATTTGCATGTTTTAAAAAGCAATCACTATTTTTTGCAGTCAGACATTCATTCCTGAAATTATATTGATGTGCAGCAGACTGTTTTTATTGTACATTGACTTTTTTTTACTAAACTGCAATAATAAATTATTTTTTGTTGTTTCTTAGTGTTCTTAACAGTCCTGAGAATCCCAACAAAGGGATACTTATTGAAATTGAACATTACACATTTCAAAAAATAGAATATGAAATACAGTTGTGTTCATAAACTTGATTAATTTCACTATTAAAGAAACATTTAGTATTGTCCTTGTATTAAACATCAATGATGTTTCAAAGAAATATAATATGGAACAGTACAGTATTCATAAACCCAATAGAATACTAGTATCTATTGATTAATTCCACTATTAATGCAACATTTAGTAATTGTCAATGATGAGTAATGTGTTTTCATTGGCAATCATTACCCATAATTCATCTGTGTATCTGAGAAATTCATTTCTATGAACACTATCTCTTTAATTAAATACAAAAAAAGGCCAAAGGTCAAAGGATGAAATAATTAGACTGGGAAGTAGAAAACCAAAATTAGTCATTTAGAAGACACTGAATGTTCTTGCGGTTATTGATGCTGAAAGGAAATCTGACAGAAAAAGTTAACTGAAATTAACTAGGACATTAGGGGTTTGTGGGGAATTTGAATAAAATCAGAAGCAAATTACTTGACTCTCATTTTAGTTATAGGAGAACAGAACTAGTCTTTAAGGTTCTGATTCTGAACAGAGATCAGCATGAATATGACATAACTTTGAACAATTATTGTGGTTTTGACAAGGGCACAGATCTGTTTCGAAAGGTGGGGCGGGGGGTGACATTTCGTGAGCCCACACAAAAATCTCAGGCCCACCATGGTTGCCATGGGGTGCGAAAATTTTAGGAAATAGCTCTAGATGACCGGGAATGTCACTTTTATATAGTAAAATTCATCGTCATCACATCACCATTATATAATCAAAATGAAGCGACAACAAATTTCTCATGATGTTTTACCAGCGATTTTCGGCAACCATAGATTTCTAATTAATATGTGTGATATACTATAGAAAATAAATATTAACAACATTGTCTTTGATGTACTTAATTTAGGCCTACCTACTTCAAAGCCATTAGTTCACACAAGGGCTGAGGTGGGGACAGTTCGAGAAACAGTACCTCTAGATTACCGGAAACGACACTCTTATATAATAAAATCATCGATCATATTAATTGCTATGATGTTCCATTGAAAATAAAACTCAGTTGTTTTTGATGCATTTTTAATTTACTTTACCATGTGCCGAAAAAAATCTTATTGTTATTTAATATTACACGCTTTTTCTCATACTTCTCAAATTATAGTAAATGCATGTGCACAAGAGTTGTGTATTATAAGTATTTCAGATGTTTGTGGGCAGATATAGAGTACCGGTGTACAGCACACTTTCGTCATTTATACAGTTCATTTTAATAATTTATAGGCATCTTCTTGACTTATGAAATTATTACATTGTAGACCAACCCCCCACCCCCACCCCTTTAACAATATTTGGGGACGTGTCCTTCCTTGAGATTCCATTTGAGATTTTTTGGAATTAGTAGACGGCTATAATAATAAGCTTTATTTAAAACACAGAAAACTTGGCTCAACTAACAGTTGTTATTCTGCAAGGCCGTGTATACAACAATTTAATTTAATTTTTTCATTTAAAATGACTTTAAAAAAAAAACAAATCAAACAATTGTTTAAACACACAAATATCTAAACTGGACTTAAATCTTAAACTAACTTAATTACATTAAACAAACTCGAACAAAACAAAAATACTGTAGTTTATGTAAGAAACTACCATAAAGGTGTTAACAGTTTTGTGTTATTACAATGTCGCAATTATATACTTTTTAAATAAGGACAATTTCTTAACATTTTTAACATCATTGCTAATTTCATTCCAAAGTTTGGCACATCTATAGGACAAACTTCTCTTTTTGTAGTCAGTTTTGGTTTTAGCAACATTAATTCTGGTTTAGTTCTTATATTATAGTAATTATTTTTAGAGACAAATCTGTTAGATAAATAATGAGGTACTGTACACGGTTATTCATAATCTTAAACATAGTGATGGCCTCATTTATTACAACCTTTGGTCTAAATTCATCCATTTAAGGCTTTGCAGAGCTTGAGTACTCGAATCACTTCTCGATTTGTTTAAAATAATTTTAGCTGCACGGTTTTTTGTAGAATTTGGCTAGACGCTCTTGGATGATATCTGAAAAGAATTTCAGCTTAAAATAGAAAGTGCATGTTTTACGAGAGTAGCCTACTACATGTAACATGTATACATGAGAAGCACACACACAAGACGAGTGACTATTTTTTTTCTTCGAGGGGGGTGGATAGCCACCCTAAATAATCCCCTAGATCCGCCACTGCAACTATCTACTCTCATTCCTTTCAAATCCTTGATATCAACAGTCATCTCATTCTGTTTATTTGCAATAAAAGTGTAGCTAAAGGGAAGTATAATTTGAAAGCTCTTTGTAAAGGCTGGTTGGCGCTCCACAGTCACTTCACATCAATTAGTGTCAGACAGTTCCAATAAAAAATGTTGGGAATCGGAAAACAGAACAACAACTTTTGCTAAATTATTTAGACTAAATGCTCAGTTGACCCCAATCTAGAGTACTAACTAATTCTTGCCATGACTTTGATAATTGAAAAGTTCAAATATGGCTTCAAATATCTACAATACACAATGCATGTTAGTCAACTTACCTGTAAAAGTTAATAATTTTATTTGATCAAAGTATCAAAGGAATAATATAAATTATTACACAAAATAAATTTCTAATATGTATAGTATACCCCAACATATTACCAAATTTTGCCGAGCTTTGTTCCAGAAACACTTTTCTATTGATAAAAAAAAATACTGTTACTATTAAAAGCATTGTACTCTCAATTGCATCCAGGAGTGTTAAGATGAGAATGCCACTTCAGTAAAATTCGTCTCCCCCCCCCCCCACCCCACTGGCTACAGGCCTGAAGCAAGAAGAAAGATGAATGAGGAGTACTATTTCCATGATGATAATATCCCAACTTTTCCAAAGGTATACAGGACTGGGTCCCAAGTCTCCAGCAAGTCTTGGGAGTCTCCCAGAAATTCAGACGGCCTCCTGCACTCCAGGAAAGTAACCCATCTCACATAACTTAATTAAATGTGCTTGTTTTTACTACTGGGGTTACCCCTTTATTATCATTTCTCTCTAATCAGGCCCATAACCAGGGGGGGTTCGGACGAACCCCGCCGTTTGCTAGCTGGCTCCGCTTGGATTGCAAAAAAAAAAAAATCTCAAAAGAAGATTGCTTAAACTTAAAAAAGAAAAAAAACAATCCTGTTCAAATAATCTTTATAGACAGTAGCAACTTTTAATACAAGTTTCAAGATGGAACTCTTATTTATGTGGTCAGCGCAATTGGTTGGTCGTTAACATCTCCAAAAGGCTCCACTTTTTCCAAATTTGAACCCCCCCAAAAAAATCCTAGTTATCCTGCTATTGGAATCACCATAAGTAGCAGAACAAAATTAGATGTACTATGAAAGCTTGTTACAGTTTAAACGTATCTCATGGAAATCACTCCTTCCATCTTGAAACCCCTGACACAAATTTTATATGACATGAGACGGCTATTATGCAACTACCAATCCACAATATTTATATTAATTTGTTTACTTTGTTTTGTGACTCCTCAGTGCTAAGTAATCATTGCTGTTGCCCGATTATCCTGGCAGAAAT